TGAAATTAGATAAAAATAGATTCATTTGAAAGCCCAGAATTTATTTTATTAGATGCAAAAAAATTAATAAGAAATTCTATCTCCATTTTTTTGTAATATTAATTCACAATGATTTTTGTACAGTTTCTTGGGGGATTTTATCCCATTCTTCAACCATAAATTGTTTCAACTCACTAGTATTTCCTGGCATTCTTCTTTCTACATTATTTTTTACAATCTGCCACATATTTTCAATGGGATTCAGATCGGGACTGTTGGATGGCCAGTCTAAAACATGAATATTATTTTGAGATAAAAAGTTTTTTGCAACACGCAAAGTGTGCTTAGGATCATTATCTTGCTGCAAATGCCAGTTTCTACCATACAGCTGTTGAGCAGCAGGAAGAAGCTGGTTTTGCAAAATATTCACGTAAAAAGGACCATCCATTATTTCTGTAAAGCAAAACAAGGGGGTTTTGCCATTCAATGAAATTCCACCCCAAGCCATTACCTTTTGTCATGATTTTGGTAATCTTCTGACTGGTCTTTCTCCATTTTTATACCATCTTGAAATTTTATTGTGAAATAAATCGAAGGCAGTCTCATCTGTAAAAATGGTATAATCCCAGTCATCATTCAAATGAGTTTGTGCCCATGTTTTTCGAGCATCAATATGACTAATGGTAAGCATTGGGGTGGAAAGTGGTATGGCACTATTATACCCTTTTTTTGCCATGTGTCGCCAGATATTAGTGTGTGAAATAGATATATTATGTGTATCTTGAATTCGAACTGCAAGTTGGCGTGTTGTAATTGCAGAGTTATGGTGAACTAATTGCCCGATTGACCGTGAAACTGTTTGTATAACCTTAGAACAGTGACCATTACCGCCAATATGTTTAATAATACCTTTTTCTTTGAGTTTTTTGATATTATAATTTTTTTTTCACATATATAATTATATAATTAATAAAATAATAATAACGTTTTAATATATTATAATCTATTCATTATTTGCGCTACCAATAATGATAAAACATATTACAGTCAACCCCCATATGCACCCCATAAATGCACGCCCTCTCTAAATGCACGCTCACACTCATTCCCGAGCTTGGGATTTAAGAGATAAGTGCACCCCTCCATACATGCATTGCACGGTTCTTTTTTCATTCCCAACTATATAAAACCACCCTCCCTAAATGCACTCCTGTGACTTCACGTGATATTTGCAATGAAAATTGTGCAACATGTTATAATGAATTTTTTTCAAAAAGTTCAAGTTTGTATTTTTATACAATACATTAATTTTTTCCTTTTTCTACAATACATTCATTGTTTGATCTTTTTACAAGAGTACATTTATCATCGATCCTTTTCTTTTTTACAATATATTTATTGATATTTTTTTGCAAGAATAAAATTTGTTGTATTTTTATTTGATCTTTTTTACAAGAATACATTTGTTGTATTCTTATTTGATCTTTTTTAATTTCCTTTACAAGATGTCTGAAACTGCTCGTTCGCCATATTTTATTTTATATCTTCTATCCAACAAATATTAAATTGTTTCTTTATAATACTCTTTAAAGGTTTCAATATACATGATATGGTAATTAGCTAATTACCGTAAATACGTAATTCGTAATTAACGTAATTAATTACCACTTTCACTCTTTAAAAACGTAATTACGTAATTAATTACGGGTGACGAAACTAATTACGGGTTACGAAATTAATTATGGGTGACGAAATTAATTACGGGCGACAAATTAATTACTATTGTGAAAATTTTCTATGCAAACCGTTGTTGACACTATACATGGGGATGGTAATTGCATAATTACCGTAATTACGTAATTATCATAGTTAGTTACCATTTTCCTCTTTAAAAACATAATTATGAAATTAATTGCCGTATTGCAGGCGACGAAATTAATTACGGGTGACGAAACTAATTACGGGTGACGAAACTAATTACAGGTGACGAAACTAATTACAGGTGACGAAATTAATTACGGGTGACGAAATTAATTATGAATAACAACGAATTAATTATTGGAAATATCATAATACAAGTCACTCCCGTTATAACAACACTCTCCGTACAAACAAAAAATGTCAGTATGACGAGAATGTCATTATAACGGGAGTTCATATAGAAGTCATATGAGAATCATTATCACGTGATTTTGTAATTTTATTTTTATTATATTTTATTTTTATTTCATTCATGTTTTATCAGGAAATTTAAAACTTGCGCCGGGTCAAAATTGACCAGCATTATACAGAAGTGTTATCAGAATTTTCCATGGTGCCGGTCAATCTTGATCCCGGCGTAAAGTTTTATTTCCTTATTATTATGTTTTTTCAGAAATGAGAATGATTTTGATTGGTTCTCCCATTATACTGACATGTCGTTATAACAGAATAAATTCTATAATTCTAAAAAAAGTTGACAAATTATGTCATTATACTAGTATAACGAGATAAATAATAGGTGTCATTTAATTTCGTCATTCGTAATTGATTTCGTCACCCGTAATTAATTTCGTAATTACGTATTACGTTTTTGGCAAAATAATTACCATCCCATGTATAGGTTTCAAATGGTAATGATAATTAATTAATTAAAATAATTGTCTATTATTAACTAACAGTTGTTACTTACAATGAAACAAACTATAATAGATAGATTCATGTCTTGAAAAAAAATTTTCTTTCTTCTAATGATAAATAATAAATAATAAATAATGAATTTAAAATTTTTTGATTTGTATCACGTGAGTCACGTGTAGCCAATAAAATGCTTTAATTCCCTAAATGCACACCTCCCTAAATGCACGCTCTCACTCGTTCTCAAGGGAATTGACTGTATATATTAAATATTACTATGTATAATTTTCATGATGTCATTAACAACTGAAGGCATAATTTTTGGTTAACCATTATTTTCATTTCTTTAATAGATATGTATGTATGTACAAGAGTATTAATGTTTGTTTAAACAAATCTATGGTTAAATGAATTATTATTACACAACCATCAAAAATATTCTAGTTGGTATTAATGAGTAAGAGGTAATAATTATTATGTACTGTTAATAATAATTCTTATTGTATACAATATTGTACGTAAATCAGAAATGATTTATGAAGTTGCACAAAAAGAAAATCGTAAACTATGAAATTGGACTGGTTTGAATACTTATTTAAACATCAATAAAATAATTGACTCACAAAAATATCTCAAACAATGGAGAAATAAATATTCTAACATTCTAATGTAACAACCTTTAATTCTCAGATTATCTTGAAAATAAATTCTATGGAATCAAAAATTAGCCATTGTATAGCTCAAGTCATCTAAAACTGACCAATTTTATTCAGCATTTTTTGAAGCCCATCACATGGACACACAGAGCGCTTTTGGACTCAAGCTCTTCATAGCTTTATATGGGCATACTGCAACAAAACCAGACAAAGTGAACATTGGTACAGGTGTGTCACAATAATACATCCATTTTTATATAGAGGGGCCAAATTATCATGAAGTTTGCATGTGATAAAAATTTATTTTTTATTTTTTTTAAAAAGTTATATTAATGAATTAAATATCTATTTCTGTCAAGATTGAGTCTGGTATTTTTCTATGAGACTTGTATTTTTTTACAGCATACTCAGCTTGTTTCATATTCAAGCCTTTTCTATAACAATCCATATAACGAGCTGACTTCCTTTCAAATTTACGAATTGAATTTAAAGAAACAGAGTCTAATGCCAAAGGAACAGTTTTCTCCAGACCTTTCCAGGTATAGTTGCAGTTTTCTCTTGCATACCTCTTTGCTGCACTCCAATACATCTCAATGTAATTTAATTCACAATGGTATTTTGGATAGAACATCACCTTATGGCCATGTGCTTCAATGATTTCCTGTATTAAAGGTATTTGAGCTACAAAATCTGGTTGTGCTCCTAATTTATGTCTTGCACAACAATCTGGATAGTTTGTAATTTCTTCAATATTATTATTATTGCAAGTTAATATTAACCCTTCTTTTGGCCATAATCCACGTTCTTCCAAAATTAATTTTATTCCTTTGGTTTTTCCACATAATTTAGGATCATGAAAGTCATCAGGAAAATTCATTGTTTGAATTTTTCCATTAAAGATTGTGTCTCGCAGTTTAGGTTTTTTCCCACCAGGATTTAAATTCATATTATTTACATTTAAAGCATTGTCTGCAATTTTGGCATGGCTTGAAGAATTGTCAAAGGCAAAAACTGCAACTGCACCTGGGTGAGTGGCTTCAAATATTGGAATTGCATGTTTAATTATCTATAATAAAAATATCTTTAACTTTTTTTTCAATTTAGTAAGATTTCAGTTAAATTGAAACATTACTTGATCAATTAATTTTTCAACATTCCACCATCCATCAAAATTTTTTCCTGGATTCATCATTACCCTTGCCTCATGAGGAACTGACTCTCCAAACTCATAAACCTGTTGTTGATTCAGTTTTAATCTTCCAACTGTGCTAGTAACAAATTCACTTACATGGATTGATCTGCCTTGTCCTTTTTTCCTCAAAGGTTGTTCTCCTTCAGGCATCCACCCAGATTTCAATCCATCATTTGATTGAAAGGTAGTTTCATCATGTGTTACCAATATATGAAGTTTTTCTCCTTCATTTAATTCTGGATTGATTTGGATTTCAAGATTATCACCTGTAAATGTTGGCATTAATTTCTGATATCTATATTAAAAATCAAAGCATTGATTAATTATGTTTTTAGATGATAATCGTTATAATAAATTCATAACTCACAACTCTATTTCCTCTAAAAATTTACTTCTATATTCAACCACATCACTTCTTTCATGTCCATCAAAATAAAGACCTTTTTTATATTTGTCATATACATAGCCCATTTTCTTCAACTACCTGTTTGCTGTTGATAAACTTAAAAAAAAATTTTGTTAATTAAGAATAGTTTACAAAAAAAATATTCTTCTTCTCACCTGATTGCTGTCTCATTTTCAACTCCTATACTAGGAAATACATCTTTAGCAATAAATTCTTTAAAATTATTTACAGTCACATTAAATTTTTCCTTTCTTAAAAAAGATGATATTTTAATCTGAACATCTTCATAATCAATAATACTTCCTCTTAAATGTTTGCCTCTTTTTTTATATGAAATATCACCATATTCTATAAATGACTTTCCCCAACTTCTTATACATTTTGAAAACCATGGGCCTTTATTTAAGATTTTTGAAACTAAATTTGCTGCTTCAAATTTTTTATGATTTCTTTTTAATAATTGAAAATAATATTGCAAAGCTTTTAATCTTAGATTATAACTTTTTGCAATATCAAATGATTCATCAGGTTTGATTTCAATATCTTTTAACAAATAATCATAATTTATTTTTTGAAAATTATCAACTATTTCTAATTCATTATTAACTGTTTCAGAACTTTGTGAATCATTATCCTGAGTCATTTCTTTACTAGAATTTTTTTCTAAAATAAAAAATTGATCAAGAGTTTGACCATTTTTATTGATATTTTCTTTTGTTGATGCCTTTCTTCTTTTTTGTGTTCTTGTTGAATTTCCATGATAGGTTAAAGGTCTTTTGGCTTTATAATTTTTCATATTATTAATCAGTAATTGGAATAAAGATTCACTGTTATTTTCAAATTCTTCATCAAAATATGAAATCATTTCTTCAAAATCATCAGAATTAGCAGAATCACTATTTTCTCCAAAAAAAGAAATATTTAATTTAATTATCAAGTTATACTTAGCAAATTAAACAATAATTTCTCACTAAATTTCATTATCCTCTGGTATTTTTTGTTTTTCTTGTCTTGACTGCACAGAAATTTTAGCAATATTTTTTAAGTGTTGAGTTCTTTTTTTAATTCCAACCATTTTAAGTATTTTAGGATTTTTATTAGAAGAAAAATTAGCAAAAAAGAATATTTTGAAATATTGTGATTCAATTTACGCGAATTAATTAAATTGATACGCGACATTTTATTTTATAAGTCGGGCCAACATTAGACGAAATTGACCAAAATTATAAGGTGCCAATTTCAGAATTTTTATAAATTTTATAATAGAATTTTCAAACTTTAACCTGACATGACTCTTGTTACACTGAACTTATTTAAAAAGGCTCAACGTAGCTCAATAGCTCTTAACTAAAATAATTGATTAACGTTGTTTTTTTTTCAAAAAGTGCATGGGAATTTGATCCATGTCAATTTTAAGAAGACCAATTATTTTGGATGTATTATTGTGACACACACTGTATTACCAAGAATTTCGGGGATCAAAATTTAGTCATTTGAAATGTGATTATAATTATCAGTTTTATAATATCCCATTTGTTAACCTCTTAATATTAGGTGATATATAGAATTACCTCTATATAAAATAGTTGATATGATTAAATTAGGTCTACTATGGAACCCAAGAATTACAGCACTATTAGAAGTATTTTAAGGAAGGAGCAAGGAGAAAAAATTGCACTTTATGTTTTTAAAATGAATAATACCAAAGTTTTTTGGGAATATCTAGATAAAGAAAAAATCACTTATGAAATTTATCAAGAAGTCAGATAACTAATTTGCTTCTTATTCTGGCTTATTGAGCTGTTGTACTTTTGTTCAAATCAAGTCTGTATTTAAGAGGATGACTAACCAATATTTCTATTTCAAATTCAACAATTTTTGAAAAAAAAATTTTTTTGTAACTAATACTAATGGATGCAAAGATAACTTTATTAAAGAAATTAGCCATTTGCATAGTTCCACCAGTGGTTGGATGCAATTACTTTATGAACATTTTCATTTTTATGTCATTAAGCAGCGAGTGCATAAACTTGATGCCTTAGTAAAAATATTGTGCTTTGGACTAGAAACTAAAGAGGTTGAATTATTTAACATTTCTTTCAGTTGTCAATAAGATGTCACTGAGATACCCAACTCAGTGTACAAATCTCTACTTCCACACAACCAAACCTTGTCCCAGATACTATTAATACATATTTCCACACTGGAAAAGTCCTGTGAACATACAACATAAATGACACCTGATTTCAGGTTGTGGGGTCTACCTATACCACTTCTAATATCCACAATTGCATGATGCTTAGCACATTTCAGAATTGAACCATATAGCCCATCATCCTTCATCTTCCTTTGATGATTTTCCAGATCTTCACCATCTCAAACTAGCTCTATCATCCAATCATGTTTACCATCAACATAAAAGTCCACCCAGCCCTCTGAAGCAAAAACAGCACCAACATCTGGAGAGATATGTACATTTTTTGGAAGCAGTTGTCTTGCTGCATGGTAAAACTCCATTTGCCATGCCCTCTCCAGCAGTTGACCATCATTACCCACACAAAGGGTTTTCTTGAAAGTCTCTGGGCTCATTAATTCAAACACCTTCTTGATAAAATCTTCAAAAGGATATGGTAAAGTGTGTACATGGGTTCTAGATCCAAGATGTTCCTGAAGATAAGCTACATGGACTAGTGGTGATGTGAAGTCAAGTTTCCTGTTTCTCAAATAATATTCTTGATGGAAGTCTGAAAGAACATTTGTTTTGATCAGATGGTCTGCAACTGCACTGTGAATGTCAATACCACCAGGTTGGATCAAGACTTTGTCAATAAGTTGTCATTCTTCTTCAGATGTCACTATGACTTCTTGACATGCATGTGTTCACTACAATAATAATGGAGTTAAGATCTCTATAATCACAAACTATTAATTTTCAATCATTGCTCACCTTAACACCTTGATAGCAATCATCTGTTTGAAAAAATTTGAATATTTTCTCAAATGTCAATGGTTCCACACCCTGCTTTAGCTGCTGTTGAAATTGTAAAACAATATCATCCAGGACAAAAGAAACAAGCCCAGGATGGCACTTGGTTTCTTCTTTCACATAGTTGGCAAGTCAAGGGACATCTCCTTCAGGAAGCAGTTTCAGATTGGAGTGACAAAAAAATCAAAGAAATTTGCATACTCTTGTTCAGAATACTGAACATCTTCAAAATTCCAAGTATTAATTTCATCTAAGTCAAAAGGAGATATAGTTTTAAGATGGCCTGGTCCACTATATGCTCCCCAATATCCATAGGATGCAAAAGCAACAATGTGGAGACCACCACCCTGTAGAACTCTCTTGACAGTGTCCCAAAACTTGTCACCACCAAATAGACAGGCTGATGCACCTTCTGGTTTGTATAACACCTGAATTTCATCTATGATCAGTATTGTTTGTACTTTGTCACACTCACAGACAAAGGTATCTCATGACAAGCCTCCCATATAATCCTTGAATTGCTGTGCAAAATCCCAGCCTGATCCCTCCCTCCTCAATCATACAAGTGACATCCAAAATATACATAGTTCATTATGTGTATTGAGTAAATAGTTCTCATAGAGTTGTGCAAGTGATGTCTTTCCAGACATTGGGGGTGAGCACACAAGCAAAAATCTTGCATTCTGAAGGTGACTGTGTAACTTTGTTACAGTTGCCAGCCTCTTGCAAGTCAAGTTACTATTCCCATCAACACCTTCAAAGTTTGTAAATGCTTCCTCCCAATAAGTTGTGCCACCAATTCCTCCTATGAGAGATAGTTTAGATGGAATGATTTACCTAATCTTGGGTATAACCAAACTGTTCCCTTAATCTCTGTATGCAGCCTGGATCAGAGGGAGACACTGAGCCTAATGCAGGAATAATATAACAAGAGTAAGTAAATAACTAAGTTTAGAGAATGGAAAATTTGAAACTTGCCTTATTAAGTAAAATAGATAGGAGGCAATAGTTGTTTTTTTTTAAAAAAAAAAAACCAATAAGTTATTGATAAAGCAAAAAATAAATTAAAAAGCAAATGTTGTCAAAATCACAAAAAGGATTAAAAATGGAACAATGACAGAAGAAATCTTATAGTGATCAAAAAACAGAGAATTAATGTTACATTACTTCCAACTACTCCAACTACTTCATCATGCAAACAATACAATAAATTAAAAGAAATAAATGATATATGTTAACTTCTTATCAAAATGACTTTCCTTATATTGAGTATCAAACATTCTCTCATATGATGTTTCACTTACCAGATTCTTTTATATATATATATATATAAATAAAAAGAGAAAATAAATGAATGCATACATGATTAATAATAATGTATAAGATATGTGAAACTAAAGAAAAAAAATCAATACTTTTTAAAAGTCACATTTCTTCTATTTTCATGATCACCAATGCAGGAATGCCTTTTTCTTCTAAAGATTTTATGTCAAACACCTTACAATCCTTTAATCTGCGAATCCAATGTTGATTAAATATTTTAAGTACTTTATCTGCTTCTTCTTGAGTAGCATTGCCGTTACTTATAAAAGAATCCAAGAAAGTTTCGATTTTTGTATTTTCATCCATGGTTATTATTATAAACAAGAAAAATAACAGTCACAGGACATGTCACGCAGATCAATAGGGAGCTTTAAAACATAGTAATAGTAATAGTAAAATTTTACAATCAAGTGACTTCTAATCCCCATTTAATACCCTTGCTGTGTAGCAACCACTGCCAAATTTGAGATATAACTTCTTTATCATATTTATCTGCTTTAAGAAAATTTTTAAAGCAGGTTGTTAATAAAACTGAAAATAATCTGACCCTCAAAGTCAAATTTTGTTTGACGCGTCCAATCGCAAGTATAAGTAGAATAAATGTCCAAATATTACATTATCATGAATATTTATAGATTTTTGATCATTTAGGTATGTCTTTTACAGTAAAATCATTTATTTTAAAAGTAATATAATAAATAAATAGACACTAAAGTTTTTCTTTACCTACGGTATATACATAAATAATAATTATAATAGTAAATAATGATTAAATTAAAAGATGTTTTATCTCTGACTTTATTCATTTAATTATTTGTCATAGTGATGTTATTAAATATAAGTTAAAATAAAAGAAATTTATATAATAAATAAATAACTATCGAATAATTAATAAAACGTTCGTTAGAATATTTTGTTCATAGATCTTATATAAACTATTGAATAATTAATAAACGCTTGTTAGTATATTTGTTCATAGATCTTGTCCTTAATGCTTACTTCGATTAAAGATTGTTACAAAGGCTCTGAATAGATCAGATCAAAACTAGATTAGATCAGATCAGATCAGACCTTATTAAATTGCAATCTGTTTTGATAAATTCTTTATTCATAATTTCTTTCATAAATGATTTTTTATAAATTTTATTATTATTATTTATACATAATGTCTCAGATCAGATCAGATTCAATATTTCAAAAAACCAGAACAGATCAGATCGGATTTCTTCCAAATCTGTTCTGTTCTGTTCTGTTCTGTTCTGTTCTGTTCAGAGCCTTAATATAGATACTTGGGATATTGTATAAAAGCAAAAAGGGTAACAATGCAAAAACAAATAAATATTAACAAACAACATATTGTGAGATAGTAAATTGGGAACCAGGGCCCGATTATTGACAATCAATTCCTTTTATGACATCATCAATGATGCATTTTTTTGGCATTTAGGGACGCCTCAAGTAGTATAGTTCCATATAGAGATGGGCAAATGGCATATAGTTGAACACTATACAATACTATACGATACTTTACATATAGTGCATATAGTGCGTATAGTAGATATAGTACATATAGTAGTTTGAAATTTGATCGGGTGATTTTCAAATAATAAGAAAAAAAAAAAAATTTGGCTATTGCAGGCAAGTTTAAAATATATATCTATTATTTGACAATAACCTAAACAGGAATTGATTTACATTTACTACTATATTTTTCTAGAACTATACGCACTATATGCATCACTATACGTATAGCACTGATCTGCCCATCTCTAGTTGTATATATTTCTTTATATCGTTTTCTTTTAAACTGGTGACCAAGAAGATAATGTTAGTGAATCTAGATTCTGTGAATTGATCCCAACAATAACATGTCTAATAAAACGGATATAATGATTAGAGTAAAATTACATATAAAGCACCGAACGAATCGAATCAGGTTGAATTTTAAAGTATTCGAATCAAACCGACCCCTATATTTTTTTTATTGTCATATTAATATTAATAGGATAGCATTCGAAATACATTGAATGTTTATTTGAATAAAACGAATAATTCGAATAAGAATTTGTATTACATATTAATGTTTTTTAAATTTATTAATAAGGAATTTTAAATTGATATTATTATGTTTATTATATTAAAATTAATACAGTCAAACCTTGTTTCAACGAATCTATGAGACATATAAAAAATTGCATCTAAAATTCGTTATACCAAAATTACTAATCGTATTACGAATTTTATGTTTTTATATTAATATTAATATTAAGTAAATTCAATTCGCAAAACGTCTATCAACCAGTGAAATTTTGATAGAAAATTACGAAGGGAATTGACGACTGAAAGGAGTCAACCGAAGCGACCACACTCCGGAGTGAGCTGCAACCAAGAATGGCGAAATTGGGAGGGAAAGTGAAGGAAAGGGGGCATTTGCTATTATGATCGAGAGAAATAAAACTATAGCTGACTGATTTTAATTAGGGCATTTGAATGCAATCAATTGACAAGATCAATAGTTGCCAAAATAAGGGAACTCGTCGATTGTCAAATTATTATATAATTATATAAGGAAGAAGAACTAATACTAACGAAACATTTCCGACTTTTTTGTTGATCATTAACTGATGGGCCCTGTTTACTTGGTCATAATTTGGGGTTATTTTTATGCATGTTAGTATAATTAGTATAATTAGTATTAGTAATAGTAATAGTAGTATAATTAATTTAGGGTAATATCATTTCATTACTTGTTTATTAAAACGGTAAAATTGAAAAAATATAAACGTGTGTTGGCATAATACATAATGTCTTTAGATGATGCACACCAATACAATAGTTAACAATGTCAATAATAATAATAATTATAATAATAATACAGAATATGGTAACGGAACTAGTGCTAGTTTTACAACAACAACATTTGAGATAATGGAAACCCCAATCAGATCACCTTCCTCATCTCCAACTCCAAACCATCTTCTTGATGATGATGATGAGCTGACACCAGAGCAAAGTGCACATCTGAATGAAATAGATTTTAATACTGGACTTGATGGTTTTTTATTAGCAGCTCTTAAAAGTCCCAAGGATAGACTATTCCTTTTGAAATTAGATCAAGAAATGGAACGGTTTATCATTGATGAAAAGTAAAGAATTATATATATAAATTTATTTTATTATTATCGTTGCTATTTACTTACGACCACTACTATTATTATTTATTCATTATAGTCGTTCACGACTAGAATTTCCACCAATGAATTCTTACCAAAGACTTATCATTCACCGTGTTGCACAGTACTTTAAATTATCTCACGTAGTAGACACTAGTGGTAAAGCAGTAGTGTTATACAAATCTATCGAAACACAAATGTAAGTTTATTAACTATTCTTCCTCATATATAATTCAATAATTATCACACCAAGTTAATAATAATAATTTTGATTAATGACAAATTTTTTTAGACCGATTCTTCGATTTTCAGACCTTCTTGAACAAGAAGACGACGAAAAACCTGAAAAATCAGTGAAAATTATGAGAAGACAACAACAAAGATCCATAAACCCAAATGATCCTGATAATAATAATTGTGAAGCGGGAGAACGTAAAATTCTATCCATTGAAGAAAGAGAGGCAGCCTATTTAAAAGCTAGAGCAAGAATATTTAAAGATCTCGATCAACCAAATGTTATGAACGGTCAACTGGAAGAAAATAATGAAGATTCAATAGTTCTAAATTCTAGTTGTATTAAAGACAATAGTAGTAATAATAATCTTAATAATAATAATAATAATAATAATAATAATAATAATATAAAAAGTAATGAGGCAACTAATGGTAATCCATCATTTCCTAATAAACAAAAGACGAATCAAAAATCAAATAAAAATAGCAATAATCAAAATAAACAAAACAATAATAAAAATTCACAACAACAACAACAGCAGCAGCAGCAGCAGCAACAAAATAAAAATAATAAGAATTCTCCAAATAAAAATAATGGAATTAATTCAAAAAATAAACAACAACAGCAGCAGCAACAGCAGCAACAACAACAACAGCAGCAGCAGCAACAGCAGCAGCAACAACAGCAGCAGCAACAGCAGCAGCAACAGCAACTACTACAACTACAACAGCAAAAACAACAACAACAACAACAATCCTCCCATCTCCAAATGTATAATTATAATAGTCCCTTAATAGATAGACAATTTTACAATATGTCAAAACAAGGACATCATCCCATGAACAATTTTTCTTCTGGTCCTCTTCCAATTATGCAGGGATCTTTCGGCCATCCACCACAACCACCACCACCACCACCACATGTGAACATGTATGATATTAATAGCAACATGTTTCCTCTACAGCAAGCCATGCTGCCACATGATATACATCCTAACCATTTCATTTCAAGCCCTTACATGAAACATATGAATCAATATCGAGCACCATCTCCTTATGTTCAATCTCACGCCCCTACATTTTCAAATTCAAATCATATCATTAATCCATCTATTTCTACACAACCTGGCGGTGGAAGTGAAGGAAATAATAATAGTAATAGTAATAATAATAACAACAATAATAACGGCAACAACAGTAATAATTATAGTCTAAACAAACCAATAACTACTCCTATTCATGAAAATAAACCAATTTCATTAATGCCACCATTTATGTTTCCAGGTTTAATGGGACCACAACAAATGTCAAATCTATCTCCACGTCATAACAATAACAGTAATAATAATCAACAACAGCATCAACAACAACAAATACCTGTAAATTATCAACATATGGGTTTAGTTCCACATCCAATGATGGGATTTCCACCTCAACAAACATCATTGCAACTACAACCACATCCGGCAAATATTGGTGCAATCAGACCACCGAAGTCAACAGAATTATTTGATCCAAACAATCCACCACCACAATCATCGTTATCATCAACAGTAGCATCACCATTATCAACAGGTTTTATCGTTAATTCTTCAAATACCAATTCATCAAGATCAGCAACTCCACAGATATCATCATCGCTTTTAAATAAATTTACTTCTAATTGGGTTGGGGATCAAGTTGGCAATAAAGTTGGTACTAATATTCCTAATATGACAATATTATCTCAAAATACAAATTCCAATAATAATCATTCACGTAAAAAACAAAATAGTAATGATAATAATCATAATAACAACAACAACAATAATAATGATAAAAACAATAATAAAAATAAAAATCATAAAAACAATATCAATTATATTAACAATAATAATAACAATATTGATAGCATTAATAGCATTAATGCTAATTCAATACTTGACGGTAGTATGATAAGATCGCTTAATCTTTCTTCAAATAGTCACCAACAAAATCGTATCCATCACCAAAATCAAGCTTCATCTACTCCTCCATTCAATAATAATAGCACTAACAACAACAACAATAACAATAATCATAACAATAATAATAAAAAGAAAGAAAGCTCGCTTTTGTTTGATTACACTTTACAAGTACCATACGAAGGAATTAAACCTAATCAAGGTACCAACAATAAGTATTAACAACATTAACATTAAAATAATTTTTTTATAGTGATAATAATAAAAAAATAAAAAAATAGTATTTAATTTATTATTTTTAATATTTAGCTAATGAACAACCGCCAAAACCAAGTCATATACTTGAACTTTATGATTTTGCAGTATCAGACAATTTAACAGGTATTACATTGACGAATGCAACTATTAAACGTATTGATAATTCTCCAAAGATGAACGATGGATCAAATAAACGGCAACCTACAGTTCTTGCAATCTTTAAAAATTCCAAGGAAGCCAGCAAAATGATTCAAACATTTAAAAGTCCCAGGTTTAAACTCAAGGCATGGGAACCTTTGCCAAAAAATACAAATAATAATGATAGTGATAGTAATCTTAGTAGCAGTGGCAATGGCAATGATGATAATGACAATTCTACAATACCAGTTAGCTAACCACTGGGAACATCGAATTATTAACAATCAACAAATCCTTCTCTTTCTTCAACAAATTAGTTTAGCAGCTATTTAATAGCTATAAAAATTTAATTTAATGTTTTTTTTTGTTTATCGTTGTTGTTGTTATTGTTATTATTATTATTATTAAAATTGTTTCTTTTTTTCTATTTTTTTTCTTATTAATAAAATTTTTTATACAAAATACAAATACATTTATTTTTGGGTTTTTTTTTTCAAAAACAAAAATTGTTTTACAATAAAATGTTAACTATTTGTTGTTAAAATTATTTAACGCTTCATCATTCCAACTAATAAATCTTCCACTGAACTTATGAATCTCATTTTTGTTACCATTAATTAATGAAGATATAACATATCCCGGTTCATCAGGTGATAATAATTCATTATCTTCATATAATTTTATATAATTTTCATGATCATTTTTGGACATAGTATTATCACCTAAAAAAATTTTTCGTTATAATTATAGTAGTTGTTGTTTTTGTTTTAATAATAATTTCTTTTTTCCATTTTTTTTTTTTTATCTACTCAAAAGAATAAATTGATTTCTTACCTTTCTCTCTGATAAATTTTTGCATTGCAGTGTTTACTACACCTGGTCTAATTGCAATCGATGTGATAATATCTTCCTCAATCGACAAAGTTTTAACCAACATATTTAAAGCTGTTTTCGATCTAATTATTAAAATGTATGTACGTATTTGTAATATATTTGTAATGTATATAATAAATATCGCTTGTATATCAGCATTGATATAATAAGTTTAAGCCATATTAATATAAACTTACGAACAATATGCTCCCCAACCATAACAAGCTTTCACAGCAGCACCAGATGAAGTGAAAATTATATTGCCACCATTTCCTCCATTTTTAATTGTATCGCGTAAATGAGGTAAAATCTTTTGAATTAATAATACGTTCGAAAAGAAATTCACATCAAAGCATCTATAATTAATATTAATTATTATTAAATTAATAATTAAATAATTATTATTTGGGGTAAATTGGTGTCTGTAATTAAGAGGTTGCAATCGATTGCAGAATTTAGCTGTATAAATGTTGCAGCACAAGTTGTATTCAGTTGCAGAATTTCGAATCAGTTACAGATGCCAGCTTTAGTTGGAGGGATAAAATATAAAATAAAACCCACCATACCTTTTCCAATCTTCTAAATTTGTGTCAAAAATTTTACCAAGTGGCTCAATAACACTGCATAGAAATGAAGACAATAATAATGATAAATTTAATCAATCAATGAAATCAATAAAACTCGAGACAAATAATATAATCAATCATTCAATTATTTATCACCCTGCATTAGAAACAACTCCATCAATTCGTTTCCATTTATTTAGACATTTATTGATCGCCTCATCAATAATAGCTTCTTCTGCAACATCTCCAACCACAATTTCTAATTTATCTTTTAAATTTAAATCCACTTCAACATGCTGTTTCAAATTCGCCAAATCATCCTTTGAACGTGATATTGCTAATATATTATTTTGAAAATTTTTTACCATGAAAAGTGTTGCTGATCTACCAATTCCTCTCGAAGCTCCTGTCACTATAAATGTTTTCGAGGTCATTACTATTATTAATGTAAATTTTTTTGTCAGATCATGATTATCACTAGTGCAGATCCGTTTATCTGTTGATTTTTTTTTGTATATACATACAGAAAAAACCACAAGGAAAAGATTCGTCATTAAAATAAAAGGCAAAGACTTATTGAGTAATTAGGCATTTGTATCTCGGACTATATAAGTTAAAATATATATTACTTTGTATTATTTGTTCAATTTATATAACCAACAAAGGATGATTAGAAATTATTAGTCACGATCGGTGCTTCATACTCTGTCAACTTCTAGGTCAAGCAGAAATTTTTTATTTAGATAATGGTTATTAGAAGCTTATTCACTTGTCTTGGTTCATACTTGCCATTTTACAATTTGCAATACTATTTAGGTAAGAAATGCGAGTCCTGATGAGTTATTAAAAAAAGCTCTTTAATATTAATAAAAATCAGATGTGAGTAAAAGTATCAAATTGAGTGTATTCATAGCAAATACAAAAGTAGAAAAATAGTGAAATAATATAATGTTTTAAAATCTTGATTCAAAAAAAAAAAAAGAAATTGCAAATGTGCTCTCAAAAGGTAGCATTCACAATCGGTTAAGGTAAAACAACAACATTAAAAAAATAAAACTTACCCAATTCTTATTACTGTAAAGATGCAATAATTCTATAAGCAATTTTTTAGTATAGTTTGAAATTGATATATACGTCCGGGCGTGCACTCTTGTGAAACTACTAAATTATTAAGTCAATAATTTTATTGGGAAAAGCTCAAGTGCAAAAAGAGGTTTATTTTTCTATTAAATATTTTTACACTAAAAATTCATTATGGTGATTTTAAAAATTCAAGATTTTCATATCTATGTCTTGCTGCTCTTTATTTATTTTAATAAATAAATATAAATGTTATAAAAAGAATAGATAATTCAAAATAAAAATTTAATAAAAATAAATGAATTACTTTCTTTCTTCTAAAATTGCCTTTTCTTCTTTAAGTAATTGCTCTTGTTCTTCTCTTGATAAATCTGAACCGGGTAATTCATCTAGTATTCTATGACATCTTTTAAATCTATCATTAAGTTTATTCACCTTTTAATATTTTTTTGTCATGGTAGAGACAATTTTGTTAATAGCTTTTTTAAAAAACAATTTTATGAAATTAATAATAATAATAATATTATACAATAATTTTAACTTCTTGAGGATCTTGACTAGATTCAACTTTATCTAAAATGTGTACGACTTGTTGTAAAAAAGAAAATTCATCACGTTTAAATTTTTCAGCTATCAACATTTTGATTTTATTTGAAATTTTTTTTTTTTTTTGCCCTATTTATAAATTTTTATGTTTCACAAGAAAAAGGCATTATATTAATATTGGTAATATCAGAGATTTGGCTGGATGCAACATTGGCAAAAATAGACGATTCTGATTCCAGTATGTATTGGGATTTATGGAGATTAGAGCTTTAGTTTTTGTTATGTCTCTGCGGAAACTGGGAGGGGTGGATATCTAATTATGCACATGTGAGCCACATCTATAAAAATTCGTGATAAAAGAAATCTATATTGGTTTTTTAACTTTGAATTTTTAAAAAATAACAAATACAATGGTCATAAACATAATGGTTATCAGTTATCCCTATATATATATAATTTTATGTTCACTTTGTAAGTTTTTATTGAAAATTGCAAAAGTAAAAATAGTCAAACACTGATTATAATTTATCTTTAACAAAAATTTAAAGATCCAATTTTTGGTACAAATGAAAAATACTGTCATTAACATTGTTTAAATAATTAAGTGATAATTATTTGAACGTTTACAGCATTAATCTACATAAATGTGGAGCAATGTTTATGGTCTTTTACATGGCATAGTGATTGGCAATTATTGTGAGATTCTTTGTCATGATATATTATTATTAATATTAAATAACTATAAGAAGTGTCAGAAGATAAAAAAGCAACATGACCATTAGAGATCTATCTTTTCTTATGGATCAGTTGAAATTAAGAAAAAGATAGCAATGATACCACTTGGAAATCCAAGAGATTTGGGCAGTTGTATTAGTATGGAACAAGAGACTTAAAAATGGATAGTACATTTCTTGTCTGTTGGCCAGAAAATATTACATAAACCTGAAACATATGAACTGATTGATTTACACTATGCTTCAAAGGAAGCTAAATATCTTCAAGATATTGCAAACATGCAATCAGAGTTACTTACTTACTAGATAGTCCTTATTTCTGGCATATGGCTAGGTCTTACTTGCCCCGAATTATAGTTGATGCTTCTTTTATCTTACAATCCCTAGTCTGGATAAAAGACTCCTGATTTATTGTGTCCACTTATATTCCATGGCTTTTATTCTTCAACTATGCAAAAACTCGTAATGGGTTTATTCTATTATTAACTATATGTTGTTTAGACACCTGCCACAATTAGATATTTGCAGCGGTGGTAACTATCATATAATAGTTACCCTTGATAGTTACCATTATAAAATATTTATGGCTGTCGCAAATAATTGCGAATTTTATTTTAGTTCTCTTGACGAATATGACTAACAATACTAATGAAAATAATTATAGGGCCCCGTCCAGTCTACCGACAACACGCGATGTGATATTTTAACATTTTTGATTGTGTGGAGGTTAAAAGTAACTCTGTTTGTTGTCGGCGAAGTGTCCTGTCGGTGAAGTGGGTGTTGGTAAAGTGGCCCAGACCCTAATTATATTAAATCTTGAATCTATTTGCAGCAATGATAGCTACCAGCCCAATCATCGACGACAAGTGTCTTTATGTGTCATACTGGTAGATTAATTTGAACCTTATAATTCCGCATTACACTTTATCTTGTTTCGTTACAGTATGCCCATATATAGGAATAGATTTTATATATTAAAGAAAAACAAGAATAACGAATGAGATATTAATATCATGTTAATAGTACAATGGTGATATCAAATAGTTTTAATTACTGAAATCCTTGGTAGTATAGACGTTCAAAATCTATACGTCACGTGATTTGGCATGATTTTGCCGGAAATTTTGTGAACATAATTAATACAAAAAATTAATAAAAATCACGTAAAATTACAATTATTGATAGTAATATATAAAAAACGACATTTACTTTTTTGGCTTCATTTTCCAAAAATTTTTTCTGTAACTTTATTCTTTTGATCAATATCTCTACCAATTTACATATTTTTATGAGTCTCTGAAGCCTTTTAAAGATAGCCCATATAATAAAACACAGGAAAGAAAAAGATTTGCCAACATCTTATTAATAACCAATAGTAAATCCACATACACACAAAACTTTTAATCGTTGTCATTGTATGATTCGATTGAATCAATTAATTCAATTTCAAATTTTTGCCAATCAATTTTTATACATGGATTTGAAGAAACAAGTTTTTTTACTTTCAAAGTTAAAGGATGCTTTTCAAATTGATCCATTGTATAAGAAGGAAATTTATTACAGACTCGTGATATGATAAAACCCAGGTTTGTTAATTGGATGTTGTGCTGCACTTTCAAACATTCGTTAACCCATTCAAAAAGAATAAGTGATTGATCTACAAATTGTTCAGCTTCTAGTTTTTTTTTTGCTACCCATAAATTTTGATTAGAGAAAAGTAAACTATCATATTCAGCTTGTGTTTTCATTATTTGGGTGGGTAAATAGTATTTTGTTTTTGTGGTATCTAAATATGGTATTACATATGGTGTACAGTCAATCACACATTCATTTCTCGCCCACTCACAATCCAGCAATTGTTTTCGACTTGTTTAATAAATAAATGAGATAAGATTAATATTTACATCATGACGAATAATAATGATGACTAAATATTATTGCTTGTTATTATTACCTTTTAGCCATGTATTGCAAACAATCTTTACAAGATCTTATAAAATCAACCCAATAAATTTGAATAGTTTTGTCTTTTCTTTTACAAATCTGACAACCCTTTTGAAAATTCAAAATCATGGCAAATTGTTTTTCTGTTAAATCAAAAGGTGGATCCATATGTTTGAATGGAGTGAAGGTTTCGCGCGAATGCTTCCAAATAATTCTGGCCATTGGAAAATACTTTTCACCTAGCATAATTTTAAAATGTTTACAAACACACATCAACATTGAAATATCTTGAGGCGATAAATAGTAACAGATGTTGTAGAGTATGCCAAGAGAAATTTTGTCTTGCATTTTCACGTTAGGTGGATCAGAAAATAAATTCAGTACTTCTATATATTGCTTTAAATCTTCTTGACATTTCATTTTTAATCTAAAGATAATTATTATACAAATCGTATTGTTTTAGGAGATGATAAAAAAATCTGTGTTACAGCTTGGCTCCCTTGTATATACATATTAAAAAGGCACCAATGTGATGTTACACGGAATCTATAACTTCAAACAAAAATAAAAAAAAAATGCTGAGAACAACGCCACGTAGCAACTTTATAAACTTTACTGATCCAGAACACACTGAAATAGACAATGTTTCAACAAATTCTAAACCACAATCTATTCCTAGTTCGTCTGAAAATCAAACTGTTGTTCATATGCACCTGGTACCCTTGAATGATTCTACTACTTTTGCAACAAAACAATTGAGATTCACATCTGCACAAGAAATAAAAATTGGTAGAGTTAGTGGTAGTAGAAATCAAAGAGAATCAAGGACAGATAATGGTGTGTTTACTTGTGAAGTGATGTCAAGAGAACATGCGGTGTTAAAAGAAGATGGTGGACAGGTATATTGTTAAATTATTATATTATTGTTACTTTACTTTATTATGACGCAAGTAGTTTTAATACGATTATTGAATATTTAGATTATGTTAAAGGATTTAAAAAGCACTCATGGAACTTATATTAATGGCATAAAATTGGGAGATGGATCGGAAGATAGCGACTGGAAAGTATTGAAGCAGAATGATGTAATTACATTTGGTCATAATGTCAGACGTAATCAAAGTATGCTTAATTTTTGCTCGACCCTTTAATGTTTTATAATTATTCATATAACATTAATTGATTAAAAAAAATTTTTTTTTTCTTAATTAATTTATAGATTTATATCAACATTTATCTGCACGTGTTTTCTTTCCAAAAAAAATGACAAATATCAATGATTTCAACAACGAGCCAATTTCGAGCGGTATAAAAGTCGCAGGCATTTCTTCTGATAATGTCGAAGATCTTGGAGAGCCATCTAAACAGAGAGCTAAGAAGGATAATACTACTAAATATCGTGCAATTGCAGAATCCACTTCTATAACAAAACAGTCGATAATTATTAATGACGGGTAATAATTAATAATAATAAAATAATAAAAATAGTTTTTTATCAAAGGAAATATTGAATTTTAGTTTTATTTGATTATTTATTAGTAATCAGGAAAAACAAGGTACCGTTGATGTAGGAGAAAGTTCCACATCGTCCTTGATTGATCCTCAAATTAAAAAAAGTGCCGACAAAAAGGATTATTGTAAGTGCATGCATACATGTTTCTAATGTTATATTTAAAATTCTTTATTTTTTTAATTAATATTTAATTTCTAAATTTAAAGGTGAAAAAATGATTGTTTCTAATGTCGAAGTTCGAGAAAGGATTGAAAAAGGTAAATAATAAATAAGTCGTTCATTATTGATGTTAAGATGGATGATGATAATGATTAAAGACAAATCTTTTTTAAAAAAGTAATGGAACCCTCTCCAACTGAAGAAAGTGATTTAACAAAATATCTTGTTAATGAAAAAGAACAAATGAACAAACAAAAAAGCACACACGCTGACATCAATGAAGCATCATCATCGTCATCATCATCATCATCATCAGGAATTAATGACAAACTAGAGTTTGAAAGTCCAGATAAACCCGTTACACCAGCATTCACCCCAGATCATTATTCTGTCTCCCCTGTAACTAAAACATCGACCAAAAACGAAAGCACAGCCAATATAAACAAATCCCCGCTTGACATTTTTGCACAAGAACGTATATCTTCACAAATTGAGCAAGACTCCAATCAAATGTATATTTCACTTGGTGAAACTATTGATTCCGAATACAAAAATATTAATGAAAATCCTGATATTAATGGCGAAGGTCCATCTTTTCTGAGCCAAGAATCAAAAGAACTCTCCGTTACATTGAACACTAGTCATAAGCGTAAACATGATGATATAGATGATAATGATGAGGCAAATAAGATGGAATTGATAGTACTTCGAAATAGATTAAAAGAATCAGAAGCAAAAGAAGCAGATGGCGCTGCTGAATCTAAACGTAGAAGGCTTGATGCGTTTGTTTCAGCAACAGTTGGATTTGTGATCGGGGCAGCTGGTGTTTTAATTGGAAATTACATGCATAATGTTTAAAAATTATATCAAAAAACACGTTATATAAACAATATCTGATAAATATCTTGGAACCCTTTTGTGATTTTATATATATACCACTAACATACACAAAATATATACAGACAATTGACTTCATTTTCACTTGTAGATTACCCAAATGTCAGCCAATTTGTATATAACGATATGTCAAAGGTTTTCTATAAAAATTTTTCCAATAAAGATTTTTAAAAAATATTCATCTATTTTTCTGTGTAAAGTTTTTGTGTATTGACACGAACAAAAGACACTTGCCATAAATAATAACAAATCGCCAAGGTAAAATTGTCAAATTATATTTTTTATTTTCCAAAAAATTGTTTTTAACAATGAATAATCGGCTGAAATGCCTCAAATTGTATTCTACAACGCATTATAAGCAGCCTGATAAATTATAAAGATTGAATAATAGCATATAACCTTTGATAATATCAAAAGTTTTCATACAACATTCTTCATTAATAACCAACAATATACAAATGCAACAATAAAAGTTACTACTGACCTTTTATTAAAGGAAGAAATATCAAAATTTTCTAGATGTAAACAGTTTTAGGTTATGAAAAGTGTTTTGCGTAAAGGCTGCAAGAATGACCATCGATCAATATTCATTATACAAATAAACCTTTAAAAATTGTCTTGCTTGTAGGAAACATTGAAACACATGAACATCAATATCATTTTAATTTGATTTATAAATATATGTTGTAAATCGTTAAATATTAATTTTTGTCTAATTCTATATTTATTTGATTAAATTAATTTTTTCATGATTCCCCGGCAATAGCTCAGTTGGTAGAGCGGGAGACTGTAGTACAAGAACCTGTAATCTCTAGGTCGCTAGTTCAAATCTGGCTTGCCGGACAATATTTATATTTTCTATGTTGCAAGAATGGATTCACGTGTCCAAAAAAAACAACCATCGCGTTTTTCTTAAAAAAATCACTTTTTTTAAAATAATTAATTATAATAATTCTTGCTGATTATCATAGACGTTTTTAATTATTTATTATTATAAAATTCAAAAAATTATAACTTTTCAGCCCAATTACTCTATATCAATATCACCACCGCCACAAAACATCGTTATTAAATGTTTTTGCATAATTAACAAAGCGTTGTGTTGAAACCAATTTATTTAGAGATTCGGAATAAAATTATCGAGAGAGCTAATTCTTTTAATCTTTCTTTCATCAAATAAATCAGATTACCAAGATGCTTCAGTAAATACTTATATATTAGTGGACGATTGATTTTATTAATTCGTTTATCCACCAAATATTAATAATCTTTGGCTGTTTTGATCCAGCTATATAGAACAATAGTTTTTAATTTGGGGACTACGACACAATTATAAATGGATTCATTAGCTTCGTTACTAATGAGCCTATTTCCTGGACCAGTTCAGCATGAAGTCAGAATATTGCCAGGAAGAAATTAAAATTAAAATTTGAGCTTTTTCATCAATCTAGTCTATGTGTGGGAATGGGATATTTAAATTTATGCGAGGAAGGCCGTGTAAATAGAGGAAATCCGAAGATATTTAAAGAAGACAGATTATATTCCCTCTGTGACAACGACAGTGAGGAAGGAAGAAAATGATAATGATGGAATTTCTCTTTATCATATTTATCACATAGTGACGATCTCGAAATTATATTGTGTAACTTATTAATTTTAAAATGAATTCTATGCAAAGTCACGTTTTCAATTGACAGAAAATAAACTTTAATTCGTTATAAAATAAAGAACGAAGAGCAGTTAATTACCAGGGCATCAGAATAACTTTAATATTTACGAAGTTTTATTATTTGCGACTTATTTTATTTAGTAATTTTACCTTGTCAGGAGATACTTTTTTACTTTTTTTTTATTACACCTTTAAAAAAAATCATGCAATTAAACATATAATAAAGAAAGAAGGGCAGTTAATTATCAAGGCATCAGGATAACGTTAATACTCATGAGGTTTTATTATAAAGGTATTTTCCTTTAAAATCATAAATTATAGAAATTAGAAATTACCTTAACAATTGTATTAATAAGTTATATTAAAAGTAGGTAATTATTTTAAACTTTTTCGCCTAGAGCGCTTAATTTATAACTTGTTTTTTTTTACATTGATATATTGATATATTGCTTTAATTCTTCCCTATATTTTAAAACTTGATCAATTTAGTTTTGGTAGGTTAATATTCGAAGCAAAAGTTTAAAGGTTTTCATGATCTATTTAGACATGTTAACATAAGTGATAATTTTATTATTATTATAAAATGCCAAATTTTTATTTCCAATACATTCCTAAAGTCTAATGTTTTGTTTATTTCATATATCATTATCACCATTTGATATTTCATCAAGTAATTATTATCATCATTATTAAACATTTTGTAACAAGTGTAAAGTTTTATTATTGTTAATGTTAAATATACAATAAGTACGATGATTTTATGATAGCTACTTCTACTACCCAAGAATCTTGTCGCAGCAGTCCTCACCACAGTGTACTATAATCAAATTTTTGTTATAATAGATTTTAAAATTTTGCTTCACATAAAAATCCATTGTGGCAATAAATAAAATTTCCTTATGTATCCCATTCATACACTGTGATAAGGTTTGACTGTATATATACACTTGAATCAACTTTAAATTCATTTGATTCCATTCGAAGCTAAATTTCTCTCACTCTAATTAAACTATTTTGTCTTAAATTGCGTAATGATCTTGTTCTTAACACTTACTTCGATCACTCCTACACAAACTATTGAATAATTGATAAAACGTTCGTTAGTGTATTTTGTTCATAGATCTTGTTCTTAACACTTACTTAGATCACTCCTACACAAAATATTGAATAATTAATAAAAAGTTTGTTATTATATTTTGTTCATAGATCTTGTCCTTAATGCTTACTTCGATCACTCCTATATAAACTATTGAATAATTGATAAAACGTTCGTTAGTATGTTTTGTTCATAGCTCTTGTCCATAATGCTTACTTCGATCACTCTATAGAAACTATTGAATAATTGATAAAACGTTTGTTACTATTTTTTGTTCATAGATCTTGTCCATAATGCTTACTTCGATTACACCTACAAACTATTGAATGATTGATAAAACTTTCGTTACTATTTTTTGTTCATAGATCTTGTCCTTAACGTTTACTTCAATTACTCCTATACAGACTATTAAATAATTAATAAAACGTCATTAGAATATTTTTTTATAGATCTTGTCCTTAAAACTTACTTCGATTACACCTACACAAACTATTGAATAATTGATAAAACGTTTGTTAGTATATTTTGTTCATAAATCTTGTCCTTAACGCTTACTTCGATCACTCTATACAAACTATTGAATAATTGATAAAACGTTCGTTGGTATGTTTTGTTCATAGATCTTGTCCTTAATGCTTACTTCGATCACTCCTATAAAACTATTGAATAATTGATGATTAGGATTTCTAGTTAACAAATCATTGTTTCCATTATCTTTTAGTATTTAAAATATAAAAATAAATTTATTACTTAATTTTTCAAAAAATGTGTATCAATATAATGATATGTAAAGAATATAAATGTATACTTTTACGTGAATCGTTGTATTCTTGTTCAATTTGTTCCAACCATTCGCATTGAACTTTTACAACTTCAGTAGAATCTTTACAATTGGAATATTTATTTAATAATTCTCTAACAACAACAACAATAATAATGTAAAATTATTATATAAATATAGATTGCTAGTATATAGATGCTTCAAAAATAATAATTATTTTTGATTTACCCATTGACTTTATAAAATTCATCACCCCATTTAAATTTACATAATAATTTTTCTGCATATTCAGGAAATCCTGATGTTAATAATAATATTAATTTAATCCCTGGATTTTCATAATCATGTATGTATATATAAATATATGTGAAATATATGTACCTGTAATATATAGACAGGCAGCCAATGCTTCAACACAATTTAACTTCCAAGGTTTACCATAATTAACAGGGTTAGTTGCAACTAAATATGGAACTTGAAAATTATTTAACAAGTTAGCCACCTAACTATCTAATCAAATCAATTAATTCGTTCCTTTATTCAGCTTACGTAATCTATTGTGATTTGCTTTTAATTTGGTAAAAGGCACATCATCCAGCTTTGCCCAAGAACATTCTATCACTGCTATACCAAAGTCTTTTATGATATCTTTATCAGCAGGGGAAACTGCCCTTTGGCCTTGTGGACTAAAATAAATTAATAAAATAATACTAATTGCGATTTTATGTATATATTGATTGATTGAATGCAAGCCACCTTAAAGTTATGCCATTAAACATTTGATTGATTCTGAAATTTTTTATCATTCCTAATCTAGCAAGTTTTTTGCCAGAGCATCTCTTTGGATCACAATGATCAAAATCCTACTT